CTATGGGAACTCCTGCATCAACCCCATCATTTACGCTTTCCTCTCAGAGAACTTCCGCAAGGCCTGTCAGCAGGCCTTCAACTGCAAGTGCTTCCTGCAGCCAGTCCCCACTGAGAAGCTGGTCAGAATACGCATGGAGAACTTCTCTACCACACACTCAACTACTAATGTGTAAGCGGGGCTCAGAAATACCTTTCAGGAGAAGAAAGGAGGGCGGTGTCTGACAGAACAGCTATACAGGGGCATTTTAGGTACCTTGCTGCTAGGCACCATCAGAAGTGTCTGAATGCCCTTGTGGTTTCTCTAAGAGGAAACAGCTGTAGTTATGTCCATAAAGGATAAGATGTGTTTAAACAGAAGGTGTAATTATGGACAGACATGAAATGAGCAAGTTAACAATTCTGCGTGTGGGCTGTTATTAGGATGTGAGCAATGAGTGATGTGACATTTACCAAGGGTGCTGAGAAGCAGTTTGGTAATCTAGCTAACATATCAACGAATGTGTCCATTTCTTAAGCAATCATTTTACCACATGTGAGCTGTGTACGTTTTTAGCTGTGATGGAATCTCTAAATCTCCTGCAAGTCTTTGCCATAGTATTTACTTACTGTGTAGTATAACATGAGGTCTCACTGATGCTCATGTCTGCGTTTGATGGCTCTGTAGAGGCTTGCATTCCCCAGGGTCTCAATGTCTGCATACTCCTGGATGTAATTATGGCTGTTAATGACCGGCTGTAATAACTGCCTAACTAATAATTATGTGAGATTTCTCAAAATACGCCTAAAAGAACTGTTTTTGTCTGAATGTGATATTTACACAAGGCTTTATTGGTGCATGTGCTGTTCTCTGGGCATATCTACCCAAAGCTTTTTATTGGACGTGTTCTTATACAAATGTTAAAATGCCTTCTTTTGATTAAATGTTTAAGTTTAAAGTTATGATTTGTGAATATATAAAGCACGTGTTACTTCAGATTTAAGAAGCATATGGCCAGAAGGCTATTACAGTCACCATATGGTCTGATGTCATCACTGTGTGCTTCAGTCCTGACTGATCCAGCGTTATTCTGGATTCACAGACTCTTAAGGAGCTTTTAAAAGTGCATTATAGAAGTTTAACTTGAGGTTTAACTATAACTTGAGGTTTAACTAAGAACCATAACCACAATACCCAAATACGGTCTCGATCGCCTTCAGTATCTTTCACGACTGCCTTCAAAACGTATATGCCAATTTCTGTGAGATGTACTCCATGCACCAAACGTTCATATTTTTTATTAACGTGTACGTTTTACACCCCGGCCTCAAGCCCACTGCTGTGCTCAACTGACCAGCAATCGCCCCTGCGCCGCCATCAGCCGGCGCGGCGCGAGGGCGGGCACGCGGGGCGGCCCCTTCCCGCCACAGCCCCTCAGCGCCGGCGGGAGCCCGCGCGCCTCGTGAGGGGACACGCCGCCCGGCCGCCTCAGGAAAAAAGAACGGCTCTGTTATCACCAGTGTCGCTTAGTTGCCGATAGAAACCAAGCCGATGCATTATGATCGTTGCCGGGTTGTTTTGGCTGCGGATCTCCAGTCAGAAGCCGATGTTTATGTGACATTATTTAACTTTTCAGAGCTATTTTCTCCCCGGAATCAAACGTTACCTGAGAGGAGGCAGTGTTGTAGAAATCAGTCACATTATTTAGCTGGGAACTGTAGGTAGCAGAGCAAAATACTACAGCGCGTACCTGCAACAGCAGTTGGGATCCCAAGCGAAAAAAGAAGAAAAAAAAAATCATCTAAAAGGGCAAATATACATGAAACTGGGAAAGCCATTATCACCAGCTCACTCACTCAGGAGGACACTAAAACACAGTAACTCCACATTCATGTAACATGGGGAAGCACTGCAGCTTTGAAAACTGCCTCCTGTTAGATTGAAACTATGTGACACCTGAGGTGGTCAGCCTGAAAGCAGGCAAGAAAATATTAGCTTTTTTTTTTTTTTTTCCTTGGAGTTTAATAAAACTAATTCATCTAAGATAATCAGTGTATTCATGTTAAAGCCACTTGCAGGACCTGACACAACACAAGATGTGTTTCAACAAAGAGGGTTTTCTGTGAATTATAATCCTACAGATTGCCCCCAAATTTAAGTATTTACTCTCCAGGAAAGCACACATCTGCCTGCAGACACATGAATTGCATGATTTGCCATGGAATGAACCTTGGAGTGCTCTACACAACTAACGGGTTGCCCTGTCGCTTCATTCACAAAGTTGAAAGCCTTCTATTGAAGAAAATAACTTTACCCTAAGAATCCTGTAACTGCAACTGAACAGAATACACAGCTTCAGTATCCAGCAAAGGTTATAGCCTTATGCTGAAGTGGCTGTTGAAGGTTTCTGTTTCTCCAGCTTTCACTCATACTAAGCTCCAGAACCTTATTTGGTTGGAAACCAGATACAGAGACACTGCCATGTTCTTTTCAGTTAACGGATTTCTACATACTGAATTTTAGCAAAGGCAAAGAGATGGATGGTACAGAAGAAAGAGCCACTAAAAGGAAGAGCTGCAATAAGGCCCCCCAGTATAAATCATAGTTAAATCACTTTTTTTTTTTAAAGTGATTATTTCCCATGGACGCAAATGAGCAGCTAGATACAAAATAACCTCAGCCTCACTTTAATCTTCTCAGTTTAAGAGAACAGTGACACCATACCCAAAAGAAACTTTCTGCATCTGTTCCATTAGAATAGAATTTGAGTCAAAACACTTTCTTTCCTGCCACTGGAGACATTTCCAGCCTTTTTTTTTTTTTTTTTTTTTTTTAATCACTTCAACAGACATGTCATATGGAGAACAATCAGCAAACACATAATGCCTTTTTTAATACAATAAAGCAGCACCAATGTTTATTCTCAGTGAAAGACATCAAAGCCTGAAAAAGCCTTCAGTTTTATTACACAATTTTTCTCCCACCCATCTTTAGAGGCATCTGGTCTACAATCCTCTGAATAAGCTGCCATAAAAAAATCCAACATAATTTGTCATTTTGCGTTTCCACCATGTAACTAAATTGGGCCAAAGCTGTAACAAGGTTGGGAAGATAATTTCTTTTTTCCTGCCAGTAGACACTTTAAAAAATGTTTAGCTAGTGATAAGGGACATTGAAATGTAACAGAACCGCACATCACAGAGGCACATTCATGAGTTGTGATGTCTCTGGAAATGATTTTCAGAGTTTCCGAAACAGTGCAGAGTTAACCAGATCATCTTGTTCTGAAACTCAATTCTCTATCATTTCAGCCTACCTTACACACTTACTTGTTGTATCTTAATTGATTCAATTTAGTCCCTACCAGGCCATTTATTACCAACTCAAATCAAGCTGCTTTAGGAGGAGGTTCATTAAGAGAAGCATCCATGCCTGGGAGACCTGTCCTTTTTCGAGCAGCAGTCTCTATTTTCCGCACCAGGTCCACATCCCATCGATGGGTTACAAAGCTAACCACAACTCCAGGCATCTTGCTTCCGACCCGCCCAACACGCCCCACACGGTGTAGGTAATCCTGCAGGGTGTTTGGGAAGTCATAGTTGACCACAAGCTGCACACTGCTAGTGTCCAACCCCCGTGAGGCAAGGTCAGTGCAGATGAGGACAGACACATCTCCCTTCTGAAAGGAAGCAAAGATGCCAGCTCTAGCAGCTGCCAACATCTGTCCCTGTAACCTCAGGTGCTTGATTTTGTGATCGTCCAAGATATAGCCCAGCCAGTTGACGGTGCTGGCACTGTTGCAGAAGATGAGGACAGCCCCACTGGACGCTGAGCGCTCCTTCAGGAGCTGCAGCAGTTCAAGCAGCTTGTCCTGGCCTTTGAGACGGACAAATTTCTGCTGGACATGCGAAGGCAGGCGATGCAAGCTCTGGGTGCTGATGTTGACAAAGCAGTCCACGTCGACAAACCTTGCAAGCATCTGGCTGAGCCCCGCAGGGAAAGTGGCTCCTACCACCACCACCTGGGTCCTCTCCTCCCCGGGGCCAGCCGGCGCGGGGGCACCCGCGGCAAGCGGGGCGTGCGCCAGGACCTCCTGCAGCGGCGCGGCGAAGGACTCGTCGTCTATCAGCGCGTCCGCCTCGTCCAGCACCAGCCAGCGCAGCCGCCCAAGGACCAGAAAGCGCCGCCGCAACGCGGTCCGCAGCGCCCCCGGGGTGCCCAGCAGCACAGCGGCTCCCGGTGGTGGCGCCCGCAGCTGCCGCCTCAGCCCTCCCGCGGCGCCGCCGCCGGTCAGCCCGCGCACCAGCAGCCCCGCCGGGCGGCACAACGCCGCCGCCACCGCGCCCACCTGGGCCACCAGCTCCCGCGACGGCAGCACCACCAACCCGCGGGGCGACGCCGATCGCGGCCCCGACCCCTCGGGCTTCTCCACGGCAGGCTCCAGACCGGCAGGGCGGGCCAGCAGCCGGTCCAGCAGCGGCAGCAGGTAGGCCAGCGTCTTGCCGCTGCCTGTCTCGGCGGCGCACAGGGCGCTACGACCGCGGCGCAGGGCGGGTATGGCGAGGCGCTGCACCGCCGTGGGGCGGCCGATTGAAAGGTCCCGCAGGGCGGTCAGAAGGGCTGGCTGCAGCCCCATCTCCGCGAAAAGCGGGCCCTGCCCCGCTTGGGGCTCCGGCGCCAGCAGGGCGGGGGCCGCTTGCTGGACGGCCTCTAGCTGAAAGTAGTCCCCACGCGCCTTCCTGTGCTTCCAGCCCGCCGACACCAGCTGCGGACAGTCCCAGCGCCCCACCGTCTGCCAGCGGGGCTGGCTCAGCTCCGGCCGCCGGCTCCGCAGCAGCAGCTTACCGGGCCGCACTGCCGCCGTCTGTCCCCGCCCGCGCCGGCAGCCCCGCTCGCCCCGCTGCAGGCGCAGCCGCAGCGCCCAGGGGATGCGCACCACGTTCTCGGGGGGCTGCGCGCCCGCCGCCCGGGCCGCGGCCACCCCACCGTGCCTTAGAACCATGGCCTATCCCGCGTGATATCGGCGGCGCGATCTGATGGCGTCACGACGCAGCGCCTCGCCCAGCCGGCGCCGCGCGAGGAAGGTGAGCGCGTGTGGCCGTACCTCGGGTGCCGGCCTCATCCCGCCGCAGCGCCTTGGCGGGCCACTGCGAGCTGGCACAGCCCCGCGCCCCTCAGGTCAGAGCCCGTTCCCCGTGCAGCTGGCTCCGGGGTCGCGGCGGCCTGCGTGGAGCCTGTCAGGTTGGCAGCCTCAGCACCCACGAAGGGAAGCTTGGGGCGCTTACTAGTAGGGGTTGCTGTTTGCTAACACCTTCCCCCCCCCCCCCCGCCTTGCTTTCTCTGTTTTAAACAGCACCGCAACGGGAATGACGGTGAACACACCTCTCTGCTTCAGGGGAAAAAACATCCTGGCCCCCATGGTGCGTGTGGGAACGCTGCCAATGCGGCTCCTCGCGCTGGACTATGGCGCTGACATCGTGTACTGCGAGGTACGAGCGGGATGGCTGGGGACGTTGTTATTGCCAACAGTAAAGGAACGCGGGTGGATAGGAAATCTGGGGACATGGTTGCAGAGAACTGAGTACAGGAACAGACTTGGCTTACTCAAGGACTTTCGTTTTCCATATTCTTTCCATTAAAGAAATGGATAGAGTAGCTCAGCAGAATGCTTTGAGCTGTCATCAAGTCATGGAAGACCCAGCCATAAGGCTGCTTAATTACTTCAATTACTTTAGACAAAGCACTCACTATAAATTTATTTATATTTTACAGCAGTAGCTTACTTTTGTTTCTAGCATGGTAGATAAGTGAGCAAAATACATCTTACGGAAGTGCTTCAGCACACCATTGTTCTGCTCATAAAGAAGTGAAATTGCTTCTGCCAGGTTCTTGACAATAACAGGCAAAGCATTCACAGGTAGGTTTTGGTGGCTGGCCCTTAAGTTAGCCCAGGATGGCTCTACTCTAGGTCCACATGTTCTGGTGGCATAGAGAACAGAGGTGCCAACAATTTGCCTGTGCTCCTTAGGCCAGCCACAATCCTTCACCAGGTGCTTGATCGCCAGCTCAAGCCATGACCTAACAGTTCCCCTACAGTCATCTTTCATAGTTTGAAACTTTGAGTGCAGTGCTTCAGTTTGTTTATTTTGTTCTGCTTTTGGTAGTTTTTTTTATTATTTAATAAAACAGATAATTCCCTACAGCTGGAAGGTTTGTATGCTTTTACTCATTAAGATTTTTCCCCCTTTGTTCTCAGGAGCTGATTGACATAAAGATGATGCAGTGTAAGAGAGTAGTAAATGGTAAGCATGGTATTTCTTTTGTTAATATCTGTAAGCATTCTTTTTTTTTATTCAAGAGAAAAAAATTACTTTGCTGAAGTCATCTTACAGTGATCACCATGAGATGTAGGTACCTATAATCCTTCTGAACAGCTCATAGAAACCTAAATAAGCTTTTGAAGTTCCATTCTTACACCTGTATGTTTCTGTACGGTTTCAGACTTTCACTTCTACTTCTCCAGGCACTTCAGTTCTTCAGCCAGGGAAACCACAAGTCTTTTTAGAGGACTGACCAGTTAGTAACACTGTAGGATATTGAAAAAGAAAATACTAACCTACAGTTCTTCCCTACCCTTTGGGGAATAGGAGGAGAGACCTCACCATTGACTTAAGCTGCTGCTGGGATTCAATGAATCTTCTGTTAAATTTTTTGACAGATCTTAGGTCACTGGGCGTGTAGGTGAAGGGGACAGTGCTGGGCCCAGCTCACGGCCACCCCTGCAGCTCCATCTGCTACCAAAACCTTGTTAGCCCACTACAGTGGCCAAGAAACACATTCATTCAGACTTTAGTAGGGACGGCTTATGATCAAGAGTCCGTTTAAGTATTACCTGTTGGTAGCATTATTAAGGAAGCAATGAATTTGAGGTCTTACTGTCATTCTTTCCTTAACTTCAGGTCTGGGGCCTAGATTTGGCATAACATGATTTTCACAGCCAAGTTCTTAAAAGACCTTTGTAAGTTTCACAACAGCTGGGTGAGATGAGAAACAGCTTTTTGTAGTATCCCTGTCAAGGAACAGAAGTCAACCATAAGTCTATATTCCATTCTTGCCTTTCTGATAACTGTAGTGTTACATTCATTCTGGCTTGTTTCAGTGCTGTTGCTCCCCCAGCAAACAAGTTGGGAGTAACAAGTAATGGAACTCGCAGTTTGCAAGAAACGTACTGCAAAGGTTTAGGGAAGATCAGGTGTCACTTGTTGTTCGTGGAAATTTTGCTTGGTAACATTTAGTTTATATACAAATTGTATAGTCACTACTTCCTTTATGATTGCATTTGTATACTATTTGTCTGTTTTATGTTCCTCACTGCATATAGAAGTTCTTGAAACAGTAGACTTTGTTGCACCAAATGACAGAGTTGTTTTCAGAACCTGTGAGAGGGAGAGGCACCGAGTCATCTTTCAAATGGTAAGAAAGCAAAAGCAGGTACTCTCCTAAACAAGAAAGTGCTAGTTACAGTCTTAATCCAAGACCGAAAGAACTCTGTATTACAGATTCTCTATTCTTTGATGCTTCAGATAGAGATAAGATTTCGCATAACATTTGTTACAGAATTTTTAAGCTGTTGGTACACATGCAGTTAACATGCTGCTGTGTAAGTTTTCCATATGAGTGTTTTCAGAAAAAGTGATTAAGGTGAATTCTGTGCTCTCTGAAGAGATCTTGTTTTTGTAATCGGTTTCTTTATTGTATTTTCAAAACATACACATACCAGCAATGAATTACAGCGACACTTGATCACATGCTTCAATCTTGCACTGCAAGCCTCACTGGAAAGACTAAACAATATTGTTTGTCTGTCTAAGAGGGCATTAGGATGTGCATTAATGTTGCTAAAATTGATGGAGGAGGGAGGCTGCATTAGACAATGAAAGACTTTTTCAGGGGTAATGATAGTGCTGGAATAAGCTGTGCATAGGGGCTATTGACTCCTTAGAGATAGAAATACTTAAAAACAGGACATCTAATTGTGATAGACTGAGAACATTTGGTACTGTTGTAGGTTAGGAAAGAGGGTTGATCTCTTAATTTCTTTTTGCATCACTTATTGTCATTCACTGGTTAACATGCTTAAGCTAAATGTTTTTGCTATCCTGTGCTGTGAAAGGGTCTCTTTTACATTGTACTAAATGCTTAGAGCAAATATAGTTTTCCATATATGGAAGTGTACTTTTTTTATTCACTTGATGCTATTTTGTAATTATATACTCTTTATTTTATCATCAGGGTTCAGCAGATGCTGAAAGAGCCTTGGCAGTAGCTAAGCTTGTGTAAGTCATCTACTCTCACACCATTCCCACTCTGGCTTCATAGTTTTATTATTGGTAGTGGTGGTTGTGGCTTTTGTGGCTTTTTTTTCTGTTGGCTTTTTTGGGAGGGGGTTATTTTAGAGAAGACAAATTGTAGTGATTGAAAGGTTGAAGGTAGGTCCTGATAGGTTCAAGAAAAATGTTGGTTTTCTTTTTTGAGGACTGAACAGTATAGGGTAGTTGATCACCAAGATGTGAATCAGTACAGTAGAACAATGCAGACTGCAACTTCTATTTAAAACAATTCATACTCAAAATAGTAGCTGCATGATTTCTATGCAGGGTTTGAATGGCACTTTTCCAGTGCAGTGGGTGTGTCCTTGTTCTTTCCAATGTGAAATTCTGTGGCCTTATTAGCAAGTGTGTATGGTTTGAAACCTCTAGTAAAATATTGTGCAGAAATGAGAACTGAATCTCAAACACTTTGAAAGGTGTTTTTAAGTCTCCATTTTAAATAGATGGAGTTTCCATAAGACTTGTTGACACTGGTGAATTTGGTGGTGGATGTGGTTTACATCACTTAATTCTAGATAAACACAGATGAGTATTTGCAGCTTCTGCACACTGTTCATCAAAACACTTAGTCTGGTTTTCAGACTGCTGTTTAAGTACATATATAAGCAAGAAGCTGAAAATTCAGAAGTTCAAATAAAAGCTTAACCTTGAATTTACATTTAAGCCTTATAACGATGAAACATACATCCTGGTAAGGTATCTATTTCCTAGTTCTTGTTCTAGTATGCTGAAACATTTTTCTTATTTCTTCTATTTCAGAGAGAGTGATGTAGCTGGTATTGATATCAATATGGGCTGTCCAAAAGAATATTCTACTAAGGCAAGTGAATTTTGATTATACTGGATTCTTTCTCTCGTTGATACCTTCTATAGAAAAGGCTTCCAGTTCAGAAGACTCAAAGCTTCATTCTAGGGAATAAGCCTGGCTGTTGCATGTAAACTTTGTCTTCTGATCTTTGTATTACTGGCATTTTTAGTATTTGGAACTGTCATATGGAACTATAATGCTTTGTCCTTTAAGCAGAGATGACAGTATATTCACATTATTAATACTTTCTCTTCCTAATTTTATGTTATCACTTCTTTCCATCTGGAAGCTTTTACCATCCTTCTATTAAGGCAAAAGGCAAATGAGAGCTTGAAGTCTTTCCTGCCTCCTATTACCAGTCTAAGCATTTATAGAACTTGGATATTGCCTACTGTTAAACCAAGTTGCATGCAGATCAAGTACGCTATTCTTTCCATCCCCAAAATAGAACCCCGTGCTAGTTTACTGCATCTGGCTCACAAATAGACATAGCCAATTGAAATGAGATATCTGGTTGTTAAATGCAGTGTTCTTAAAACAAGGAATAGTAATGGCCAAACCTGATGCTACCAAATATGCCCATACCTTGCATGATGCTGTGACATTATACAGATCTCTCATTCTCCTTTTCCTGTTTTTAAGCCAAGAGAAATAAACATTTTGTTTAAGTGAATTGTATTTTCCAGAAATAGAATACATTTCTCAATTAAGTTACTTGAATAGGAGAAGGGTTTATTCTAGGTCTTAAGGAGAGAGAGACTACATGAAGTTTTGGAACAGAAGAACCGAAGAGCCTTAACGATTGTATGTAGAGTGTTTAAGAGATGACTGATGGATTTTGCCCTCACAAGGAATATTTTTTCCTTTGTAGTATGTAATGAGCTTAAGAACAGAGTAAGGCATCTTTCAGGTATTTAGTACCTTCACTTAAGTAGTTTGTAATGTTCTAGCATCTGTCTTCCAGTAGTCAATGTTTAGCATCCCAGGAAATGATAAAAGAGAAATAATAAAATTAATCAATTCTTAGGTAGATTTTCTCTTCTGTTATGTTTAGCTTTGTAGATTAGCTTATAGTAGAAAGAAGAAATATTTTTATTTTTCTAATATTTAATTAGAGATGGTTTGTCTAGGTAGATTTCTTGGGTCATTCCTGTTTTAGTCCCATTATCATTTTTGTTGCTTTAATAATCATCTCTGAAAACAATGTAGGGAGCATAATACAATAACAGAATAAAAAGCACCATGATAACAGCAGAACGGTAAAGTCTGGCTACAGCAAATGAGAACAAACATAAACATAGCAACTATAGACATAGAAATGAAGGAAAAGAGCTACTTACCTTTGAAAAGCCTCATGTAGACAGGAATATCCAGTAAGAGATACCCTCACCCCCAGTGCTAACCCTTAAATGAGGTCTGGGAAGGGGTGGATCCTGGCTCCTCCCCTTCTACTTACTTAGGTACATTGCTTGCACCTGAGCTCCCTAGGGTTGGCCCTGGACCTTGGTGGTCAAGAGGGCTAATGCCATTCTGGCCTGCATTTATAACGTGGTTAGCAGGAGCAGGAGGCAATTATCTCTCCTGTACTCAGCTCTGATGAGGCCACACCTTGAGTACCATGTTCAGTTTTGGGTCCTTCTCACAAGAAGGTATTGAGGTCCTGGAATATGTCCAGAGAAAGGCAACAAAATTGGCAAAGAATCTGGGGCATTAGTCTTATGAGGAGTAGCTGAGGGAGCTAGGATTGCTTAGCCTCGAGAAGAGGAGGCTCAAGGGAGACCTCATCCTGCACTACAGCTTCCTGAAGAGAGGTTTTGCTGAGGAGGGGGTCAGTCTCTTTTCCCAGGCAACACACAGGACCTGAGGAAATAGCCGTAAGTTGTGCTAAGGGAGTTTTAGATTACATATAAGGAAAAACTTTTTCTATTGAAGAGTGGTCAGAACATACAAGGAAAAACTTTTCTACTGTGCTTGTCCTTTCGTTATGATGTCTTTGTTGTAATGCCTTTCCTGTTGTATTGATCTGTCCCGTAGCTACACCAAGGAGATGTAGTTGTCATGTTGAGAACATACCATTAAATTCATAATATCTGGTAATATTCCTATTGCTGTCTTATTTAGCCTTTGCTACTTTTTTTTTTTTGTATTAAAACTAATTACATAAAAGATGACTTTATTCTTCCATAGAATCATAATTTAGAATGAAATGCCCATCCTTTAGTAGGATGGAAGCTCAAAAATTCATATGTTTGTGAATGATTAGTTTCCTCTAGTAATATTGGATCAAAAGAAGTTCATACAATTTTTAATTTGTTATATCTGCCTATTGGTCTCTAGATCTATGCATGTAGGTGAGATGGTGCTGAAAGAACAGTCAAAATATTGAATTCAAAGTGTTCACGATGTGTTTAAAATAGCCACTTAAAAAAGCAGGTTAACTAAGTTTACATTGCGTAGGCAGGAACTACTTATAGTGAAATCCTGCAAACATGATGTGTAATGCTCAAACAATATGTCCCAAATGCTTTGCTGTCACTTAATGAGTAGGAATAGATGATTACAGTTACAAAAAGTGGCTTTTTGAAATCTGCTTTCTCCTTGATGTAATGGGAGCGAGTTGGTGCCATGAATTACTGCTTCATTATTCTGATACTATTCCAGGAAGTTTTTCACCAAGCTGTTCACTAATGCTCCTGCATTACAGATTTCTCCATTTTCTACTTTCTTGCTTTAATAAGCACTGCAGTACTTTTGCTATAATCAGCTGTTAGATTAAATAATCAAGTTGAAAAATGTTTTTCATGTTCCTAATGTCACAGTTTTTATGTGTTTTCTCAGGGAGGTATGGGGGCAGCACTTCTATCTGACCCTGACAAAATAGAGTCTGTAAGTATGATCTGTGTTTATCATTTGTTTTACAAGCAGCATTGGGTCTTTTGTCTATCAGATAAAATGGTAGACTCCATTAGTGATTGTGTTCCTTAAGTATGTAAGATTCTCTATAGAGATACAATAACCAAATGTTAAACTGTTCTAATTTAATTGCATCTTGAAGTAAAGAAAGTTTTGTTCAGGTCACTTCTGTTATCACATTTCTTGTCTTTTTCCATCTCCAGATACTGACTACTCTTGTTAAAGGAATTTGTAAGCCAGTAACCTGCAAAATCCGCATTTTGCCCTCAGTAAGGACATGAATTGTTATACTTGTTTATTTTAGTTTAATCCTGTGATTTAAAATCAGTTCTAGTACATGGAGTTCTTATAAATTGACATTTTAGACCTGCTCTTGTGAAGTAGCATTTGGAATTGTAATTTGTTGGGAGTGCCGAACTATTCTCCTGTAATGCAAAAACTCGAAGTACTAAACATAAGATGTTTTCACATGGCCTTATTCTATTGAATTCTGAATGTGGATATTTCAGTAATCATGGCTTGCAGTCTTGTTTATTGTAACCCACTGAGTTAATCTTAAAGGCTTTGCTGATGGGTACGTGCTGACTGAAAAATAAGAGGGGGCAGTTATTGTTGAAGGCTGCTGCATATGGAACTGATAGAGAGTAATGCGTGTGTGTAGGCACAGAGTGCTGGCCTTTGAATGCAGTGGCAGTCTGCATGAGACTTAAATGAAAGGCGAAGCTGAAGAGGTGGTGTTACTTCTCCATCTCCCAACATTTGTGTTAGCAGTGAAGATTTCACTACTGAAATTGTGTTTACAGTTGTAACTGCTTGTGCTCTAGAAACTACTCATATTCTGTGCAGCAAGGAGCTTTGTGTTTCTCCTGATTAAATGTATGTACAAACGCAGCAATAATTACAGATGATACAAAAGGCTGCAGAAATTGTTTGATAGATTGAACACTAAAATTGCTAGTTTATATGAGGAGATTCATAATCTTCTGCAGAAGCAAAACTTCCGTCACATCTTTAGAATGACTTGTTATAGATAGATTCTTGGGTAAAGTAATTCATTTCAAGGGAATTGTGATAGGAGTTATTTTGATAGAACTGCTGCATTTTATTTGTCAGTGTCTTTTCTAAAGTATGACTACTAAGAATATTGTGAAAATACGTATTTTTAAATCTCCAGGTGATGTGCCTGCTCCTCTAGTGAGTGATGTTGAAAATCTGTTTGATTACGTGTTTAGTTGCTGTGATTGCAAATAACTGGGTAGGCACTTCTGTAGGTGGTTGAATTGTAGCTAAGCTAGCTGTTGTTCACGTGTCATTTGCATGTGCCCTTAAATGATTATACAAACAGATGAAGTCTCTGATAAGAATCACTATTCTGTTTCAGGAGTGCTATCTAATATTGTTTAACAGTAACAAAAGCTGGCACTTCTGCTTTTGATTTCTATGACTATCTTAGAGCCTCTTCCAATTTTTTCAAGCTGGTTTTACATAGCATGTCCACTGTCAGAGTAGCAGGTGGGCTTCTATCTCTGTGTTTGTGCTACCTGGTAGGTGTTGCATTTTTTGGAGACTGTGCTATTTAGTGATGAGCCATCGATTGCCTTCCAGCTTTTGAAAAGAAAACTGTAAAAAAAAATCTCCTTGGCCCTGAAGCTGCAGACCTGTATAAGGCAGGCTAACTAGCACTATACCAAATTTCTTTCTGCCTTTTAACAGCATCTTTCCTTTTTAAATAAATATTGGGAGCTTCTTGTTCTTCACTGCTTCTTTGATTCACTAGTCATGTGTGAATGCCATTTGTATTTTAGTTACTAGGTAACTCTGAGACGTTTCTGATAGGAATATTTATAAACATGATTGCATTTTAGATTGATTTCGGAAGGCTTTCTCTTAATCATCCGTCTAATGTGTGTTTTAGTTACAGCTCACAGAGTGAGCTATGGTTAAATAGGTTAAATGGTTAAAGAGAACTTGCTGTTTGGTATTTCAATTGAGCCCACAAAGTACTGATGGAAAATACTCTTCAGGAGGGTATTCTGTTATCTGGTTCAAGAAAGTTTGCAATCCATGGTTTTGAGGAACTATTGAAAATGGATTCTTGTTCTTTCAATGAAGTATGTGTTAAGTAGGTACATGCTGTTGGATTATGGGCGTCATGTTTCTTATGTCTCTTACTGAAAGACAAGAGTTCTGGCATTTGTTTTCTATCTTTGAACTAAGGCTGTCATTCTCTCCTACCACTCAGGTTGAGGATACTGTGAATTTGGTAAAGAGAATAGAAAAAACTGGTATTGCTGCCATTGCAGTCCATGGAAGGTAAATCTGTTCCAGGCAAGAGTTTTACATCCTTGCTACGCTTTGCTGGCAAATGTTGCACAGTAAGATATGATTAGAATATATTCTGCATATAATATGTAATTCTCATTTCAACTGCTACCTAAATAAGTATTCTTAAAAATCAAGCTAGTCATTAGGGAATTGGTCTTTTTAGTGCTAATGAAACATTTACTGCTATTTTTCTAGATTTAGGCTCAACAAAAAACAAAACTATCTTGCACATGGTGTCTAAAAATCCCTGCTAATCTGGATATGGAGTTATAGTAGCAACAACTTTAAATGTATTTGATTTCAAAGATTCATGCTTGAAAAAAATGAAATATATAAATGAAATCAACAAAAACAAGTATTTAAAATTTATGAGGTTCTGCTGTGATCTAAATATGTAAAAGTTTCTTAGGAATTTTGGTCTTTTTCCTTTGTTGGAAAGGAAGAAGGAGGAGAGGCCTCAGCACCCTGTCCACTGTGATGTGATCAAAGCCATATCTGAAGCAGTCTCCATTCCAGTAATAGCAAAGTAGGTTGGATAATCAGCTGGTTATTGTAATATACCTGTACCTAGCTTAAGATGTACTAGTGCAGAAGAAAGGAGATTTTTCATGTGGGGGCAAATCTTATAAGACGGGATGGGCAATAATTACAAAGTATCATTTTCAAACAATGTCAGTGTGGTTTTTTGTGTGCCCTGTCCATTAAAGATTTTTGGAACTATGCAGTTTGTTTAAAACAAACTGTCTTCATTCTGTTTAAAAAAAAAAAAGAAAATGTGCAGGTAATGGAAAAAACGTGAAATGTAATCAACATTTCAATGGTCTATTGCTAACATAACTCAGACCCATTTTTCCTCTTGGTTTTGAGATAATATCCTGAACCCAGTATCATCGTTAATAATGTAATATCACATTTGAAAATACAAGGCTGTATTAAAGCTTATAGAAGAGCAAATAAAACTTCCTGGATCATAACAGTGATGTTCATCTGTAGTGGAGGATCTCATGACTTCATCAAAGAGTATACAGACATTGAGACCTTCCAGAAAGCAACAGCTGCCTCATCTGTGATGATAGCTCGTGCTGCTATGTGGAACCCATCTATCTTCAGAAAAGAAGGTCCTTTCCCCTTGAAAGAAGTCATGCAAGATTACATCAAATATGTATGTATTTCTTGGAAGATTTTCCTTGTGGTTAACAATATTTAGAATTTAGTCCAAATCTTAATACAGTGTCTTAGTTCCTGTTACTTTCAGAGACTTAAACTCTACAGCGTATTATGAGAGTCTTGTGAGTAAATCATCCCTGCTTCTGTTTTATATTGTGTTCAGTAAATAATTTATAGAAATCATTCAGGAAATGACTTTTCTTCCGATGATTCTTTTCTTACATGCTGTTTCTTTAGTCCTGGTTTCTTGGCAACATTTGTGAGGCTTACAAGGCTATCCAAAAGGCTTTCCATCCAAGGCTATCCATCTAGGAATTTGGAAAGTCTGTGATGAGTAGGGCAATTCTCTTGATGTTGTTAGTGCAATTAATGTTGAACAGATAAGTGAAGGAATATTGATTACTCGGTTGCTGTCAGCTTTGTTGTTAGAAGTTAACTGCCTATCACAAATAGGTTTTTAGCAGCCAGGAAGCCAAGGTTAGGTGAGTAATCTTGAATATATTGAGAAAACTGTACACTGTATTTTGCATCTCAAAAATGATTTTGAAATTCATCAAGAGACATGCAGATTACCTAATAAAAACTTACATGATATGTTTTTATATGCTTTGTCTTTCTCAGGCAGTGAGATATGATAATCACTATACCAACACAAAATATTGTTTGTGTCAGATGTTAAGGGAGCAGTTGGAAACTGCTCAGGGTAAGAAGCTGCATGCAGCACAGTCCACACAGGAGATCTGGTAAGTGTGAGCTTCAGAAACAGAAATGGTGTTCTGTATCAGACTTGCAAACCAGTTCTTTCTGTAGCACTGCCTGGCACTTCCAGCGTTCAGAAATTGGAAGAAAAAAAGTGTACTTGCTGAGATATGCAATACACTGACCATTTTCAAGCTTCCTCCATGTTCATAAGTTAAAATGGTTTAACCTTAAAGATATTTATATAGCCTTCAGCTAATTTGAGAGGTGCTCAGACAGGAGTTTATCTACTATTTGCATTAACTTATTCAATTAAAAAATGCCTTTATTATTCTACAAAGGTAATCTAGATGCTTGTCTTTTCAGAGCTGTGGGTTGTTGTGGGGCTTTTGTTTTTTTTTTTTGTTTTTTTTTTTTGTTTTTTAAAGGAAAGCTTTCTATGTGCCTGTGGGTTCTTCGTGTTCCTGGGATTTTTATGACATAATGCTTGTTTTAAATGAGCATGTAGAGATGAACTGAAAACAATGTATGAAGATAGTCTGTATGATACTTGCATGCACATCTCTTGTGCCATTCTTCATATCTAAACATTTGTGACAACTTTTTTGAGGAAATTGCAGATTAGTACTTGAACTGCTGCACTTAAAAACAAACAAACAAACAAAAAAACCAACAAGGAAGTTGCATAGGCAGATGATAATTGAAGTATTTTAAAACTAAAAGATGGGAGATCTGGATTAGTTGTTTGGAGGGAGTTTTCTACTTAAAGGGTGGTGGGGCACTGGCACAGGTTGCCCAGAGACATTGTGGGTGCCCCATCCCTGAGGAAATTCAAGGCCAGACTGGATGGGGCTTTGGGCAGCCTGAGCGGGTGGGTGGCAACCCTGCCCACAGTTGGGTTGGAACTGGATGATGTTGAAGGTGCCTTCCCACCCAAGGCATTGTATGGTTCATGAACCGTAGTAGCATTGCTGTCTCTTAGTCCCAGACCTCTAAAATGAGGTAAGTTCTTGGAAGGAAAAACTTCAGTTTGCAATCTGAAACAGTTTGTTTATGTGAAAATAAAAGAAATGTTAAACTTGAAATATTCTGCAAATGAAATTACTGCTTTCTGGCAGCACTTGATCAACATTCTGTTCGTATTTGAAAACGAATGTAAGTGCCTGCAATTCTTTTATCTGTTCACTGTGACTTACCAACACTTTCTCTCTGTAAACACCACCACCCACCATTATGTTACAACAGCCAGAGAGGGGACTTGTGTTTTATGTATAAAAGGAGCCAGACTCCATTAATCGTAAGGAGCAGTGGAACTTGGAAAATATACTTACATTTTGCAAGTTAGTTTCATTTCTGCAGTGTTGAACAAATTTTTACTGTAGTAACTTGCTCTTTTTTGTGTATAGTTTTCTAATTTGGTTAGGAGATCTGCAGTGTAGACCAAAATTGAAACAGTCTTTTACAACTTCAAATAAATATAGCCAAGTGGATGGTGGTGTTTGCTAGTGAATTAATAGTAAGGTATATTATGCAAAGGAAAGGAACTGTTAAGTAAGGTTCAAGCCTTTAAAGAGGCCATTGGGGGGGTGCAGTGTATGCACATCTGTACTGGGTGAAGGTCTGGGGTAAAACTATGATACTTCTGTGCTGTGTAGTGATTCTTTAGGGCCTTTCTGCATTGAACACCAGTGGGTTTTATGTTTGTGATGCAATAACAATTGCAAAATTGGCTTAAGCACTGTGCATGCATAGGGGATCTTAGAAATTCATTTTATCAGTTTTCATCAACAAATGCAAAGCCTTCTAACCATTTTTCTGAACTGGCTGGTTAATATCCAGATGAAGAAATAACTTAGAGTTATGTAAGATGAGCCTATAGTCAGACAAAAATGTTAATGCTGCTGCCTTGTGGTGATGATGGTGTGTTGCAGCCCTGTGGGATTTTAGCCTCAGTACTGAGTGCAAGACAAGGGCTGCTGCATTTCAGATGAAAGAATTTATGTAACAGCACATTCAGCTTCAACACTTTTCCACTTACTGCATTGGAAATAATGCTGTGGCAGAAGTGCATTTTATTGTTGAACAGCCTGGTATCATTGAGTATTCTGATCTTATTCAGCAAATAAGTTTTCCAGTGCTACAGGCTTTACTGTTACCTATAGAAAATTAGTAGTCTCAATATTTCAGAGCAGATGCAGTGGAAAGGTCTGGAATTTAAATGATTTGAAGCACTTGACAGTGATCCAAATCTCAGTTTCCTGCTGTGTACTGGAGCTTGCAGATAATGCTCAAATTGAGCTAATAACTTGAATGAACACTGCAAGATGTGTATTTCTGATTCTGCCTGGAGTTTCATATTGCAATTTAAATATATAGTGATGGAAATAAGAACTTCTGCTTGCATTTCAAGTGTGTCTGAGAAATGAAGGCGAAACAATATAATGTCACCTATAGAATATAGCTGTACTTTCATGTGATTCTCTGCACATAGATACTCTATCTCAAAACAATTGGTTATTTTATTTATTTTATCATAATTGGTTACAAAAACCACAGTCTGATCTCTAATCCAAAGAAATTCCATTTGAATAGTGAAGCTTTTGAAATGTCTGAGTTCTACAAAGAAACAACAGCTGTTTTTGAAGCTAAGAAAACATCTTTGGAAACTAAGCAGCAAGATGAAGATGACCAGATGGAAGATCCAGATATAATAAAAATGGCTGTTAGATTTGACAAGTAAGCATGCAAATTCATTTTATTTCAGTGGCTCGCATTTGTAAAATGAATTTAACAATATTTTATAGTTTTTAGAGTAATGATTTGCATAGCAGCATGTGCAGAGTGATTTTTCTTTCTATGAAGCAATTTGTGCATGTAATTAAGTAATCACTAGTATCACTTTTCCTGTGCTGTTTAGATGTTATGGTATTTACATCTTCAGTTTCAGGCATTCGGAGACTCAGTAATCTATTAAAAGTGCTAAGCAATTAAAAAAATCAAGTATCTGTAGATAGACAAATACAAATATACAAAAGGTATTGAGTTTTTAGATGTTACTTGAATTGTCTGAGAAGAAAGTGGCATTTTTCTCAATTTGAGCTGTAAAAGCAAACCACAAAGAGTAACAGGTAGCAGAGATCGAATGAGCAGCACTTATTTTATTGAGTTATTGACCTGATTTAAAGTAGTTCTGCTTATTAAGTAAACTCTAAGCACAGTTACTGACCACAAATGTTTTTGTCTAGGCGAGAATATCCACCACAGATTACTCCAAAAATGTATCTTCTGGAATGGTGTAGGAAAGAAAAGCATCCTCAGCCCGTTTATGAAACTGTGAGTCAATCAAAAAACCTTTTCAAACCTCTTCCTGTTGTAAAATTGCCATTCTGAGGCTTGGTGTAGTGAGTTCAGTTTCCCAGTGCAGTATTGCTCTGCAGTAAGATGGTTCAGAAATTATTTTATATATATGTGCGTGTAAATATATAAAATGGCAGCTTATTTTATTATGTGAAAGTGAGGTCTTCAGTTTCTGTAAAGGTGAAAGAAGTAATTACAGGTCATTACACAGAAGTCCATGACTGAGTGACTTCTGTGATGTTAGAATTTGGTTTCAGAATGTTTTCTTCTGTTGCTGGACACTGTTGAAAGTATGAACTAAACTGGACAGGAGCAACTGCTTGTTTGGGTTGAGGTTGTTACTGTTGTGGGTTCATTCTTATAATGCAGAAGTATTTGTAGTTTGGAGAAATCTTCTCTTCTAATCCTGATTATGCGAGGTTAAAGCTTTAGAATTAATTACTGTAGTTGTAAGGGTATTATTTAATGGGGAGTAAAGACAAGAATAATAAGGAACCTTGACAGTCTTTGCTATTTTTGACCCGTCTACCTCTTTAATTCTTTTTTTTCTCTCCAGATTCAAAGACCACTAGATAGACTATTCTGTTCAGTGGTAACAGTAGCTGACCAAAAATACAGATCAGCTCTGTGGTAAGTTAATGCTTTTGTAGTTGTACTGTAGTTATTTCTGATGCGTTGCTTAAAAGTTGTGTGACTTTAATAAAAAGATACCTCCTAAAGCTACCTCTGGGAGAAAGAAAGGATTAAAACTTTCTGAGAATTGAATGTAACGAGAGATTAAGTACAAGTGAACTATTATTCTATATCTGAATTCACCTAATGTGATGGTCCACAATTTTAGTGGGAGGGGAGCACATAGGTGACCTGGTTCAGTTGTGCCTGCAAAGAGTCCAGTAACAAACCAGGGGAGACAGAGGAGACATTTTGGAGGGGGTAATGTCTTCAGCCACTATAGCAGATCTCAATACCAAGTCGGGATTAGGTGACTATAGTGAAGTAGAAGACACAGTTCAGTGGCTAGTCAGACTTCACAGTTGATCAACAGTTACATCTGGTGCTGCTCTACAGTTTCGTGACAGTTTTCTTTTTTATCATCTGTTAATACTGGGATTGGCTTCAGGCATTTGCACCTAAGTTGAGCCTGATATAACTGCAGAGTTAAACCTCAGTATTGGACACTTTAAAGTGGATAAACGCAGACAACAGTTACTGGTATTTCTGGGACTACTGCTCAGAGACTTCAGGAAGCAAAGCTCAGCTGGTATGAAATTTTAAGAAAACGTTTTCAAATATTGAATTTCACAAACATTTAATCTGAAATTGACAGAATTTTTATTACTATGGAACAGCTCCTGCTTATGTCAGTGAACATGTACACCTACAAGAGATCATATTTGGGCCTGAGGTATTTTTTCAGACAGTGATAATTTAAAACTCAATGTTGTTTAATGATCATATTTGCAAAAGTCAGCTTATATGAGGATTGCAGCTTCTTGTCCCAAACATACCTTTGAAATGAAGAGTTTGAGATGCAACTGTTCCTATCAGCGGAGGCAAATCCACATTGACGCCTAGCAAGATTCAAATCACTTTGGAACTGCTGTTTTCTACTGTGAAATGACTACTGATGCTGTTTATTTCACCGTGTTACGTCAGAGACAGGAAAGTAATTGTTTTGGCAGTGTAGAGACCTCAGTTTCTACTTTTACCTATGCTCTGTCTGTTTGCTCTTTAGGGACAAGTCAAAGAAACTAGCAGAACAGGCTGCAGCTATTGTCTGTCTGAGAACACTGGGTGTCCCAGAGGGAAAGCTGTGTGAGGGAGAAAACCACCTGATTAACAAACGCAAGAGGGAAGACCAGGAGTGCTTGAACAACAGAGATCATGGAAAAGAACTTGCTGAGCCTTCCCATAAAAAAGCTAATTTTGCTGAAGAAAGTTCTGACGTGAATGTGCCTAAGATGCAACGGTAGCATGGAGGTCACAGGCTTCATACAATTACACAGAAGCTAGAAATTAGCTCCTTTTGTATATCTTGCTGTTCACACTTTGTCTGGATTCTGAGATGGCTAAATTCCCTAGCTGTGGAAAAATGCCACTAAGATTTACTGTTTACCACTTGCTATCCCCATGGTGCCTTTCAGACAGGGTGAATTAGCAATTTGATTTTAGAAAACATCGAGAATATTATCTCAAAAAATAAATTCTTTTAATATCAGATTCTCTAGGCTACTTTGTCATTGACTTTATTGTTTCTTTTAAGGTATTTATGATATGCTGGTAAGAGATCTGAGTAGTAGCAGTAAGCAGATGGAGACATTATGGAACTAATGTACAAAAATTTTAGTTGCAAGTAGACATGGTTTTATCAAATGAGTTTCATGTATGACTTGAGGCTTTATTTCTTCCATCATATTGACAGAAAGGATTTTGCAGAGAGGAGAACTTGAAAATAATAATGCTAAGCATGAAAATAACTCTTCTTGATTAACTTCTACATTCTACTCTCCAGAAATGTGACAACAGAATTAATCATGCTTTCCTGGTCTTATTGGAAATTATCTAGTGTAATACCTAAGGAATTGGAGCTGAGCTTGGTAGCTGTGAATAATTTGAACAAATTAAGCTTTGAGCTGTTTTGTACTTTTAAGCTTGGAAATACTAGTAAATGTCTACATGTATATTACTAGCAATATAGGCATTAAAGTATGGCAGGCACATCCAACCTGCAGCCCATTGGCTGCATGCAGCCTGTCTCAGCTTGCAGTGCAGCTGCCCTCTGCCCCGTGCCATCGTGGTTCACTGTTCAGCATCAACCAAATATATCAGTGCACTGTTAACCCTACATGGGCTGAAGCCAGGACAAGGGAAGGGAACAGTGCAGTTCCAACACAAGTTAGGAACTTTGTTTTGCTGCATTGGATAAACAGTCCTCTGAACAGCAAAAAAATATACAGTTTTACTTTCAAATTCCTTAATCACAGTGGAGAAAAAGTTTCAATTTTTTTTGTGTATTTGCAACTCCATTTTCAGTCAGCATAAATACATGACCTGCACATTTCAAATGGAATGGATAGAGTTATCAGACATTCAACTAAGAAATCTGATCACGTCTCTTTACTGGACTCACAAGCCCTGTGTTAACAGAGAAATGTCCCTTACCTCACAGTCGTGCCTTATGTGATTGGTTTTGGCAGTATGTATATTTGTGAATAACTTTTCAAGGATGCAGCATGGGAAAAATGAAATTTCATCAGAAATCTGACCAACACCTTGAGACCTCACACAGAGTTGAAACCACTGCCATTGAACCAGATTGAGGCTTCACAAAAACAAGGTCAAATATCCCACCAGTTGTTTGGTTTTGTTGATATCCTTTGTTTTAACAAACTATTAAACATTAAAATGTTTTGTTATTCATGTTAACTAAATTACATATTTTATGAGGGCAGCTCCAAAAACTGTCTCATGATGTCAGAGGTTGATGGTGTGAAGGTTGGTGGTGTGGTAGTAGAGGTTGAATCTTCCTGCCAGTATTCCCTTAATGTTTTGTTGCTGTCTGACAGATGGCAGCAGAGGGTCGTTCTGATGGAATGGCATCTGACATGGAAGTGTGTATGAAACAAAGGTGTGTTCTGAATTTTTCTGTGCAGAAAAAATGGCACCCATTGAGATTCATCAATGCTTGCTGAATATTTATGTAGACCAACAAGTGGGTGTGAGTGCAGTGAGGCAGTGAATGCTATGTTTCACAACATAGCAACAGTGGGTCACTTCTGCTGATATAGGCTTTTATGGGAATGGTGTGCAGGGTCCTGATGATATTCTCACTGATGATAATGCAGAGCTAATTGTGGTGACTGTGTTGAAAAACTGTGTTTTGTAGCTGAGAATTTATTCTATCAAAGTGTTACTTGCTCATTGTATCTGTTGTAGTTCCCATGGAAATCAACAGGTGGCATTATTTTTGAAGCAACTTATATACATGCAGCCCCAGACAGTTGTTCTTCACCCAGAGTGACCCAGGTAAGCCAAAGGGTTGGACGCCCATGAAGTATGGCTGTGTGAGTTCTTGAAACTTGACTTGATTTGCCTCACTTGGCGGTGCTGGTGGTCTTAAAATCAACTTATCATCATCTTCAAATCATCAATTCTGGTCTGAGAGCAAAATTACAGGGATACCATGCCATGATTTCTGGAGTACTGTGTAAGAAGGCAAAATACAGTGTGCTTGGATGTTCAGGATATTCATCAAGTCTTCCTATTTAAAATTTACCATCTTTTCTTAAACGATGGTGCCAGTATGAAGCCATTGTTCTGTAATGGAAGAACAATATCTCACCAGAGGTATTAAATATAGATATACATTCATTTTTAAAATGTCTGCTCTTCAGATCACAGAGTAATTCCTAGCAAATCTATCCAGTCATTCACTTTGTATGCTGCTCTAAACACAGTTCAGCATACTTGAAATTGATACAACTTTTGTATTAGAATTTTATTCCAAAGCTGCAAAATAATTTGCAATATTAAGCAGAAATAAAAGAAGTAGCCATTTTCCTACTGAATGTTGTCTGGTGGCCTGTGTTTATTTATAGTTTGGTGCCATCATAGAATAACTGAAGAAAAAGTAATTTTTAGGTCATGCTAGCACTGCGGTGGCTTGCAAGTTCTCAGTATCATAGATCAGATGTCCTTTCCAAGATCAAACGTTACATGATTCTAACTCCCCCCTGCTCAAAGCAGGGTCAATAGGAGCAGGTTGCTGAGGACTGTGTGTAGCTGGGTTTTGAGCATCTCCAATGTCGGTGAGTCTGCAGCCTTTCTTGGCAGCCTGTTCAATCAACCTTACAGTGGGGAAAAAGTCTTGTTTCTCATATTTTTCTTTTCTAATAAGAACATGTATTCAAATTGTTATTTAAATTATTACGTGGTCACCAAGGCTTACAATTTATTTGTCTTAATTTGTTGTAATACACTGATGAAATGGTCTGTGCTGTTGTTCTGGATGGGCACAACTAGGCCAAACGGTTGGAGCATGTGAAAACGAGAGTGAGAGTCACTCTGTTGGAATGAGCATTCAGTGCTAAATATAGAAGTGCTGTATATTCTGGCAAATGGTGAGAAAGCAGAACATATGTTGGATACCCTTGACCAGTGTCAAAAGGGGAAGCTGCAGTTGTTTGTGTGTACCTGCGTATGAAAGTATTTTCTGCTTAATGTTTGTTTTCTGTCGCATGCCTTCATTTCTCTTAATTATTTTACAGCTAATGTGTGGCTTCCTGCCCCACGTCCATCATTCATCTTAATCAGTTCCACAGTTAGGACAATTTGTATTTACTATAAATATTCCTTCCTAAATTCCGGTTTTAAAGTAATTCTGTTAGCACGGTGCTTTCCTTCTAGGACTTGCTCTGTTCAAAGGCAAACTGCACTAGTGAGTTGTTTGTAGGACAGCTTCTGTTTTCTGCTGTACCTTTTATAAACAGAAGGTGGCAGATATTTCATTTTTGTTCTGGAAAATATGCTGACTTCTGCAGTGTTTAATGATTCAGCCATTGTGCTTTGGCATTCTTACATAGAATGGCAATGGAGACTGCCGTTGGGTTGGAGGGTATTTAGCCTTACTCTTCAGAATTTTTTTTTTCAATATTTAATTAAAAAAAAAAAAAAAAAAAAAAAAAAAGCACCTCTTAATCATAAGGAATTCAGTCGGGCAGCCTTTCTTTCCCATCACAAGGCAAGTAAACAGGAAAGCAGTTGGGTTTGAGTCTTGGTACTGATGTTTCAGTAACTGTTCATGGTATCTGCTGAGGTGTGATCCATGTGTACAGGGAGTACTGTATCTGCCCTTCCTGAGGCCTATTTGTACACTGCTTATTAGAATCATGAGTGGGAACGCAAAGATACTTTTACTAGCCTTTTAACATGGATGTGCTTGCTGGGCTACCTCTGAGGCCTTGCTGGTTGGAATGCTTTTTGGAATGTCCCAGGCTCCGAGCCCAACCCCGCCCTGGAATGTGAGGTTAAATGTTGGCGGTACAAATACAGAGTTTGAATATTGAAATCCTAGAGTTCTCCAGCGCTGCAATTTCAGAAAGCTGGCAAGTGAACCACATGTCAGCTCAGCTGCTCTCTGATTCAAAGAGTAAGCATGCCTTGGGTTGCTGGGGGAAGAGGAGGAGGTAGGATGTTTTTTGTTTTGGTGTGGTTTTTACTTACCCGTTATGACCTGCACAAGAGCATGCTTTTCAGACGTTAACTGGCAAGGTTGCAGGAGGTCCCAAACAGGTGCGAAGTTGAAAGAAGCCTTTATTCACAAAAGTGTTTTATCAACACTTCTTTAAACCCGCGTACTGTAAGCTCTTGCCTTATTAAGAAGTCTGCCTGTATTTGAAATTGTTTCTGAGATGGCCTACAAGGCTGGATTCCATCTGTACAGCAGTGCAAGAGGCCAGTGTTCAGACTTTTTTTCTGAGGCTATGATGGTGAAGCTGATGAGAAGCATTAAGAGCAACATGCAAGCCCTTTGGTGAGGAGGGAGTGCCTTGTGTATTGTTAAACAGCAGTTGCCTAGGTCAATTAAGGAGAAGAACTGATGAGCTCCAGAGGGAGCCTAGTCTAGTCATCCTTACTCAAAGGAGTATTAACTTCTGTTTTTATGAGAGGAGGCTTAAAAAATATACACATTTGTGGTGTTCACTTGGCTTCCAATTGAAATTCTGTTGCAGGAGTTAATGTGAATCTGCCCATTAAATATCCATTAGGTAAATAAATAAATGCTTTTCCCTTTCTCTGGTATGGTGGGAGAGTCTGTGTTCCTTTTTTAGAGAGCTGTTGTCTGACAGATATCCTCTTGCAGGAGGATGCAAAGCACTGGAGTTAGAGTCTGACATTTTACTCATACTGACTTAATTTTCCTTGATGGTCTCTATGTTAGTACTTTAGTTTGAAATTTTGTTTGATATATACAGTGGGCTTCTTGCTTAAGTGTTTGGTCAGTGATTGTGACTGAAATAGTTTTAATTTATTCACAGTTGTAAAAATAGATTTTTCGATTAGTGTTTTGTGGGCTTGAGCTCACAGCTGAATTTGAGTGCAGGTCTTCAATCTATCCTGTTAAACTGTTTTAATATTATTTAAACACTTTACCTTTCCTATGAAGTTTTTTGTTGGTTTGTAAAGTTATCTCTGTGATGCTGGGATGCTGCATGTGCCGC